AATTATAAAGCAACTGGTTTGTAATTTATTCGATCACATTTCTTCAAATTATAAATTATCTCATTTTCCTTTTCGTTATTTCTTCTGTTCTAGCTATTTCCGGATTGCAATGAATTACTCTATAATATTCGATTTGATGGCAGTCATTACAATAACTGCAGTGATCTATTCAAACGTCAGATAATTTATAATGACGGCGTGTGTTTTATGGTCAACTCTATTCATTCTTAGTAAATAAATATATGGAAGAAAAAATCATTAATATTTTCAAAGTGTCATATTTAATAATTTACTTACAGCGATTTCGATTGGGACAAATTACCATTAACTTACAATACATATCAAGGAAGCAGTCAGTTTACTTTTGATATATTTCAGAAAAAGGGCTACCGATTTTATGTAGGTTAACAATACATTTATTTGAATCGATTTTCCTTTGTTTTTACATAATGAATATCTTACAGATTAATTTCCATAGTCCAAACGAATTACCAAGTTACTATAACAGTTGGACTTTTGGCATGATTTCAGATTGCGATCAACAATTTATATTGCGTGTAACTTAGTTTTGAAAATTAATCCGAATTTACGAACAAAACATATCTCACTCCAACTTCATAGGTTTTTTTCTTCTTTTTCTAGACAACCCAAGTGGAGAATGATATGACTGTACGGGACTTATCTATTGAGAAGCGACATTGTCGATTCCCAGACGAGCGTTGGCCTTTGAACGCATCACTTCCTTACGGCTTTGTCTCGTGTTTGATTTATACACGAGTTCAAATTGAATTAGAACTCTGCAATTGTACACTGCACTTTGCACCAGACGAATGTAATGAACTTAACATTTGATGAAGAAGAAGAAGAAGTTTAAATCAATTAGTTTTTATTCGTTTACATCCAATAGACAAAAATCAGTACTGCAATTACGAACAGATGGTATGCATTGCAGAACAGGAAACAAAAGATTTAGCATATAAACATCACAAGTATATCAAGCCATGTCTTTCTGCCTGTCAAGAAATGCATGTTGATTTGGTCGGGTATGTAGAATGAGTACTACTCATCTAAATTACTCATAAATCAAATTTTCATTCAAAAATCTATTTGATCGACAGAATTCATTCAAAGGATAAAATCCTCGGTTATAAATCAATCGACGAAAGTGATTCAACACAAGGGATTACGTCAGTGTCCATTGAAATAAACAGTCAGTCGAAACAATTGACTCGTTCAGCGCGCCTCACTAATCTTGACTTAGTAATCACCATAGGCAGCATTGTTGGTCTATTTTTCGCTGCATCGCTTCTCAGTTTGATCGAAATTATTTACCTTTGGAGTTTGTCAAGATTTTAATTTATTTCAATTCATTTTATAACCAATTAAGATTGTTGATCCAATCTCTCTGTCAATATATTCAACAGACGAAGGTCAGAGTTATATGCACTGCACATTGTATTGAAATCAGAAGTAAAAACAATCATAATATAACAATTGTGCATTAGTAAACGGTCTTGTCGATTTCAAGCACAACGCTTGTATGTTTGTGCTACATTAGCAGCTGAATCACGTACCAACTTCAACTATTTCGCCTTTTTAATAAATTAATTTAAATAAATTAACTTTTTATTGATTAAAAATGGTCCTTCATAAAGTGAGCTTTACGTGTCTTTTATGCTCAGTTCAGTTTCACCGTTTCACACTTCGTTCATTTTTTCTTCCTAAATTTCAGAACGAGTTTTAGTGGCCTTTCATCGATTTTCTTCTCTCCAATCAATTTGATTTGACATTACGGAACATGTTTCATGCCTTTTGCAAGTTCCTGAAACAGAGTCGTGAATTCAAAGGTATTAATAAATCACAATTTGATTTGATTGTCCAATGTCCATCTACATTGTGTTCTTCTTTTCTGTAATCGAAATAATTTGAATTTTTAATTTGATTAAATTTCCTATATTAAATGGGATTTCATATCTTCTTTAGTCAGTTCATTTCTATCTGTTCTATCAAGCTAAACTACTTTAAAATGAATTATTCACAGTTGATGTTGAGCGAAAACACCACCTGGACAATCTATAAGGCTAATGACAATACAATCATGCAAACTCTCCGTTTTGTCAAACGTCACACGGAAGTGTAACATACAGACATATCAAATTCTCATTCGATTATGCAGGGAACGCCACCGTCAATCGATTCCAGAACAAATACATAGAGTGATATAGATCGCAAGTCAGACTTGGGATTTTTTACTGAATATTTACTCTTCAGTCAAGTTTGCGGCGCAGAGCATATTCGACGCCATTTCACGGTTCATAAATGGTGATTCTCTAAACACGGAAGGCCATCATTAGCATAAATGCGATGATAGCGCCAAGTACTGGGTGGTGCCATCCGTGAATGTTTGTTAATTGACATATCAACAATCAAACGTCGCTGAACACTAAAGCTCTCGCTGATTCGTTCAGTTTTTTTTGAAACACGAAGATGTGTTCGATCTTTCTGATTATACGATAGTCAAGCAATTTTCAAAGCTTCAAACCGTCAATATGTTTGCCTGTAATTTGGCTACAAGTAACACGAATTTCAATGTATGGTTTCCCAAATTGCGATGCTTGAAATTGCACGGTGACCTTAGTGTCAAAACTGTCACGCAGCATTTCCCTCATTTGGAACACTTGACCATTTCTGACCGATTCCAATACCAATTGAATGAGTGGTTCTTCAATTGAATCCACAGTTGACCAGTTTTGCTCTGGATCGAGCTTATTCGCCGGAATTTTTCCGTTATGCAAGCGAACTTCCACAATTGGTTAACCTCAAGCTTTGTGGTGTCCCGAATGATTTTTTCCTGGTGACGTCATTAAATTCCGGACGTGACAAAATTCGAAATTAATTTCACTAGTGAAATTAAACGGCAGCAAACAGTGTTCAATATTAAACTCACATTTGATCAACTTGAAGATATGACACTGGATTTGGATTCGTTCAATTGGGAAAGTGGACTGAACACATTTCTCTAGCGGCATTAATCGATTGTCAAATTGACGCTACGTGCATCGGACAACAATCATGAAACCATAAATGAAGACATCCTGGCCAATATCGTTCAAGCGTTGCAGCTTTTGACTGAGCTCAAATTTTGGCGTTTATTTATCAGTCAAAAACTTACATGAGCTGGTACTCAAATCCAATTTTCTGAAATATAGCTTTTCCATTAAGAGTTCACTTCAATTCGATCACCTTAAAATTCGTCTCGGCAACAAATGGCAAACTACCATTGACAGTCCCAGCGATGATCTACGCGTCAAAGTTGAACGTAATATTTGAAGAATATTGTCACGATTTAGGATTCAACAATAGCTTCAAATCAGTACAAGGCATTAAACATTTTCATTTATATTTTTTCACTTTTTTTATTAAATGCACACAGGTTGCATGCGCTCTACGGCTATAAACTATAAAAGCGTGGTCAAAGTGTTGAGAAAAATATCTTTTTATCATAATAGCTACACTACCCAAATGAACCATTTGCGGAGATATCCAGTGTACAGCGGAGCTGTACGGAGTTCGGCGGAGATACCGTACATACGCTATACGTGTGAGCGAAACAGCACTCTTTGCTGTGTTTACATTTCTATTGTTCAATACACATCTAAGCAGCCATGAGCGCACTGCTTTAGATATAGTGTATGTATGGCATCTCCGCCGAACTCCGCACAGCTCCGCTGTGCACTGAATTTTTCCGCAAATGGTTCACATGGGTAGTAGTGATCGGTCGTATCAGTTCTGAATGTATGGGCTAATTTAGATGCTAATACATGGAATGGTTTTAATATTCTTCTTTTCCACTAATGGTAATCTCGTGGGTTTTAATTTGATTAAATTTTTATTGATTAAAAATTGTCATTTATAAACTGAGCTTTTTGTGTATTTCATGGATAGTTCATTTCCATTCCTTTCATGAAGAATTTCAGTGAATTTTCTCGATCAAGTCAAAATTACTGAGCATTTTTTGTGCCTTTTCCAAATTTGGAGAATATTGTCTTGAATTTTTTTTTAAAAGACATTTTTGCGTGAGAAATTCAAGAAAATCGTCTAAAATATATTGCTTTACATACTCGCTTGGGGGAATAATTGATAGAATAAATTTATTTCTGAATTTTTGAAAAATTGCCATTTCAACTTTTTTTAAGAACAATTTTTCCAATTAGAACGAACATGCGTAGAAATTTCAGTGACTTCTGTGACAACTCAACAATTCACGGCATTCGATATTTCTTAGAACGAAAGCGACATTGGAGCGAACGGCTGTTTTGGATTTTTGCTTTCATTTTATCTTTCCTGTTATGTAGTTTTTCGATCCGAAATATGTGGATGAAATGGTATGAAAAACCAGTCTCATTGAGCCTAAGCGAAATTGAATCACCGATTTCAGTGATTCCATTTCCATCGATTACGATTTGTCCTTACACTAAATTCCGCAAACAAAAACTGGATCTACCCACTGCATATAATACTTGGATAGATTCACCAAAAAATGTATCAGATATTGAGTATGAATCTAAAGCCAAAAATTCAATTTGATTCGAATGAGTCATTGGGAATGACTTTTTCATTTTATCGTTTTTTTTTTCTTAGAATAAGTCGTATACGAACGCTTTTACATATATGCCAGACAACTGTGCTATCTACACCTCCCGATGACAACGAAAAATTCACAAACAGTTCAATTTACAGGATTATGAAAGATATGGCCATGTCCATTGATTATATTACACTTGAATGCCGGTGGAGGAAGGAAAATTATAGATGTTCCGATTTTTTCCAACCGATTTTCACCGATGATGGCCTTTGTTTCGCATTCAATGCACTCAATTCACATGAAATGTACACAGAAAAGTAAGGTCATAACGATTTTCTAACGAATAGATATTTTTATTGAATGCATGATGACATTGCATCATAACAAATATAATGAGTTCATTATGATAATAATAATGATGGATATCGTTGAATGTACATTTAGCATGGCTCCTGAATTGATGACCGTGAAAAACAATTCTAATATAACGAATTGGAGCTTCGAAGATGGATACAAAAGAAGTCCACCGACGAAAGATTATCCAAATCGTATATTCAACGCAAAGCAATTTAATGCATTTTACATAGCATTGCATATACCAAATGAGCACATTGAATACTTGTGTGCTGGAATAATCAAAGGATTCAAATTGACATTGACTCCACCAGGTGAAACACGTAAACCTGCTACGTACTACTATCAAATTCTCTTTTCGGAACAAGCGGAGATTTTCATCAAACCCAAACTTGTAACCACTTCTCAAACACTGCGCAAATATTCACCGAGTCAACGCCAATGTTTCTTCACTTCGGAGCGCCAATTGCGCTTTTTCCGAATTTATACGCAGAATAATTGTCAAGTTGAATGTCTCAGCAATTTTACTCAAATCGAATGTGATTGCGTGAAATTTTCCATGCCAAGTAAGTACTGAACGCTGGAAAAGTACCCAAGAACTTGTGAATTAAATTGAAAATGTCGTTTTCAGGAGATAAGAATACAAAAATCTGTGGAACAGCTAGCATTCGATGTTACCGGAATGCCGAAGATAAATTGTTTGGGGAAGACGTAATCGATGAATTTGAAAATGACACCGTGAAATTGTATCGTGAACACTGTAACTGTTTGCCTGCATGCACTTCAATTAAGTAATTAAGAAAATGGAATCTGTTCCCAACAGGGAAATATATTTGCTAATTATTTCAATTCATTTCTACTGCTACGGCTGATCAAATCACATAATTTCAGATATGAGGCATATATTGATAGAACGAAAATCGCTTTTGAGAGTATATGGAAATCGGTGGACCTTTCAAACCGTAGTTTTCCGAAGTACATCATCTCGTAAATGTTGAAATTTGAATAATTTTTAACGAATTTCCTTGCGATATTCATTTAAGCGTTCAATTGACCGCTTTGTCGATTTATTTTGCCGATCCACAAGTCACAACGCTCCAACGCATTGAAACGCAAACCCTGACCGATTTCTTTGCCAATTGTGGCGGATTGCTTGGACTATTCTTGGGTGTATCAGTGCTGAGCATCATCGAGTTCGTTTACTACTCAACTCTTCGTTTGTATTGGAACATTCGTCGTTCAAGAGTCGAAACTGATGTGGTATTGTTTGAACGGAGGGCCAATAATTGCATTCCATTGACTCTTTCAATGGCCGAAAGAGGAAATAAATAGATAGAGCTGTGGAACTAATGGACAATTTATCTTAAAATTTTCTAACTTTAGTGCATTTATACATGGCATTTGTCATATTTTTTAAGTTGATCTTTTGATTTCGCCATTGCGGCCTCATGCAAATATACATTTTCTAGTTCACGTGTGATAATCTAATGTCGTGCCTTGAACACATTGAATCAAAATAATAATGAATACCAGAGCGT